TTCTGATTCATTAAAAAAAAACACAACTGTATTTTTCTCTAGCTCTCAGTACTAATTTTATTACATTAGTTATCTTTGTACCCAAGAAGAGTTTCTAATATGAGATAAATTTTTGAGATATGGTAATTTTTCCTCCAGGTTGAGAAAAGATTTGGGTGTGTAAGATTGGTCTCTAGTGTCCCTGCAGCTGTGCTTCACTGACAGGACTGCCATGTTAGCACAACAAACCACACTCCTTCTTGCCTCTTCCCAGCTTGGTAAAGAATTGCACCACTGACCCCATCTCCCCAGCACAATCTTTTTTACAAGCTATTTTTGGTTTAAATCAAATATTTCTTTACAAATGATATTAGAATTCTGAAATTCAATTACTGTCATCCTCAGAGTTATGATAGATTGACTATAATTAAATATTTATATAACATATGTCTAGACCACAAAAGGTATTGGCACACTGGTAGTAGCATAACTTGTTTGGATTTTTAGATTAATTGCTGGAAATGCACTGTCTGGTGAATAAAGAACTGTGAAAAGTATATACAATTTATCTCTTGTAGAGGAAAGATGTATTCTTACCAGCCTATAGGCCAATGTGTTCAAGCTTAATCTATGAATCTCATTTAGAACATATTTATTGTATCGTATTTTTTAAAATTCATTTTATGTTTAATTTTATGGTAAAAATCAGTTTAAATGGCGAATGTTCATTGTCACGTAACAATATTGCTTTACTGAAATGAATTTAAAGCAACAGGTAATTACTTTATATTGATTCAATTTCTTATTAAGACAGCTATTGGAAGATTAAAAATGCTTTCAAAAGACTTTAGTGATATCAATATCGAAAAGAGGAGCAGGAAGCAGTTTTGTTGCTTGAAAACATCTTGTAAACCTAACAGTTTAACAAACTACTTTAAGATCATGGCATAAGGATTAACAAAATCTAGTTCTTTTTGCAATTGTTGATGATATAGAGGGAATAATGTCACTGATCTCAATAATTATATGTATTCTTATTCATCTTGAGACTTACATATATTCTTATTTTTGACTACTGTATAGGTAGTGTTCTGGGTGGAATACATCAGAGAACAAAGCAGAAAATAATTTCTGACTTTGTAAAGCTTTATTTTTAATGAGAGGGAGACACAATAAAGAGTCAATTTTATCTATTTACACTTTATAATAAAATTATGAAATCTACACTATGGAATTATATCTATGAATTTTTGTAAGATTTCCAACTATGTTATTTATGTTTTTGTGTGATTATGTAGCATGTCTAGCTCTAGATTTTAATTTTTTCTGTTGGAATAAAAAGTAAAATGATAAGATTTATATAAAGAGCATCATCTTAAAGCAAATTCTTAAATTTCCTTAAAACTCTATTTGCAACCTAATTTTATGTTCTATGTATATTACTTTCATTATTATTAACAACGTTACTTGTCATTACTTGCAATAACTAATTTTTTCAAACCTTATGTCTTCTAATTACCTAAAGAACCAACTCTACTTGGAGGGAAAAAATTCATATTGAATCAAAAATAGAAAAAGGAGTTTGGGGGACTGTTACACTCAGCGTCGCCACTCTTCTGTGTATTACTGGGTGTTTATATTTGTGTGTATACATAAATAATGTATGTGTGTATGTGCACAAAATCAGTCTTCTATTTTAAGAACTAACATTTTCATTCAGTGTGTACATTGGTAAGTGTCTGATTGTCACTGACAGGATTGTTTGTAAAGTCTGTGATAACACGTGGCATTTTACCAAGTGATTAATTTCTCCCGGCTCAAATCACTAGTTTAGTAACACAAAGTAGTTACTCATGCTCAAAAACGCATAATCAGTAAATAGTTTTGGGATTTATCTCTTTTTAGACTTGAACTGTTCTACTCATTTTCTAAAATGGATGGATTATTTCTAGTAAACACAAAAATGGAAACCTTTTAAAGAGTCTTGTAGTCTTAATCTTATAGAGCAAATTAAGTCCTTTAAAAGGGTGTCTTAGTTTGTTCTACTTTCAGTAATGTATTACTTTAAATTTATCATTTTGCTTTCACCTTATTTTTTTAAATGATACTTAGTCCATCAAATTAGATCACTTTAACTTGATTTATAATGCTGTGCTGAAACGTGTGCAAGTCATATTTGGTATGCATTTTAAACTGCCTTATTTTGAAATTAACTATTTATTATATATAGCAAAGACACCAGCATTATGTTACTAGTTTGGTCACAAGATAGAATGAAATGAGTTGATTCTACACATTATAGTTATTTAACTTTAAAACCAGTTAAAAGTACATGACCTTTAGTATCAGTTTCAGTATACTTCAGTCTTTCTGCAACATTTATTCAGTTCAAACTTTATATCAGGCATTTTGCCAGGTATTGAAGACCTGAGAAAGACAGTGATCCTTCCTTCAGGAAGTTCACAAAATTAGAGTTGAAGAAAGTGGTGGTAGTGGGAAAAGTGAACTTTATTATTTAGCCTTTATTCTGTGTCTAGAACATAGGCACTTCACATTATTTTAATTAGCTCTTACAAAGCCCCATAAGATATTTATTATTATTCCCATTTTACAGAAGGGGAAACAGAGTATCAGAGATGACGTGTTGCCTGAGATAATAAAACTAATAAGTGGCAGGTTTATGACGCAGGCCTTTCATACTCCACACTTTTTGTTCATTTATCCTACAGGAAATCTGCATACCAAGCATAATGAGGATATAAAAATGGGTAATTTATGGTCCCTATCCTCAAAGAGTCCTAAATTTTGTGAGAGCATCTCATGCTCCAAGAAAAAAGCCAACTTGGCTCGTTGCATCTGGGTTCGCCTTCCCCCGTTCCAGGCCTCAGGACCCTGACAAGGCCCCAGCGCTTTGCAACTAGGCAAGCTGCTGCCAACGTACCAGGGCCCAGCTGGGGTCCTGAGGCCCGAGGCTGGGGGAAGCTGAACCCAGCCACAACCACGCAAAGAGCACACCAAAGACACCATTTCCACTTGGGTAGCCCACCATAGCCACTGCAATTGCCATGGCTACCGCTGGGGGAAGCTGAACCCAGCCACAACCACGCAAAGAGCACACCAAAGACACCATTTCCACGTGGGTAGCCCACCATAGCCACTGCAATTGCCATGGCTACTGCAAACGCAGCTTGTCTCTGTAGCAGAAGTCACAGCCATCACACAGATGACAATGCCAGACTCTCAACTGCATTGACACAAGGAGAGGCACCAGCAGAGACCAAAAAAAAGAAGAGGTCCTCTCTCTCCACAGAGCACGCTCCAGAGTAATAGAAGAAGCATCTGGTTTATGATAATAGGGAGGACTTGATCACACCTGTCTCAGTACTGGACAGATTCTGGGCAACAAACCAGCAGAGGAACAGTTGATCTATCAGATGGAGAGAACAAGTCTATGGTTATTAGAGGGGGGCGGGGAAAAGGGAAGGGAGAGATTGGATAAGGGGAATAAAGAATAAGTATGATTTGTAACAATGAATATGCTAAAAGTTTTTAAAAGAGCCAAGTCTTTATTTTCTTAGGCTCTGTTTATGTGTTTATGTGAACTCATCTTAACCACTATGGTAATAAAATGGTAGTTAAACCAAGTTTTTGTGTTCCTTTTTTTTGGGGGGGGGGTGGCTGGCTAGTAAGGGGATCTGAACCCTTGACCATGGTATTATCAGCACCCAGCGCTAACAAAGTGAGCTAACAGTCCAGCCCCTAAACCACATTTTGTACAGGAATCTGTTGATTCATTTGATTCATTTAGCGTTCTCTCTTAATTTTGGTGTGTAAGAGATTTTTGTCTCAGTCTTATAGTATAACTGATATAACTTACTACTACTAATTATCTCAAATTGCTGCCTGAGGAATAATGTATTGCCCTGCACAACACCTCTCAGTTTTGTCTGTTAACCATTCAAATAGAAAATGAGGGCAGACTGTGAGATTTTTTTTTTTTAAAGTCAAGCTACTTTATTTTAATTCAGTTAATTTTTTACTGTATAAATTTAAAATTTATGGTCATGATTAATTAATTTCAGAATGAAAGTGGACATTTTGTATTAACCCTCAAATCTTCAAGTCTACCCAGCAAAAGGCATGTAAATCTTTCCTGTGTTGTCTCCTACCTCTTATGCAAGGGAGCCTTAAAGATACGTCACCTTCAGTATTGATGGAGTAGCCTCATCAATTCCAGATGCCACAGTTCAACAAAATAAAAAGTAACTAAGTGCCAGTAACACATATGTATATAGAATGTATCATTGATTTTCACCTGGGGTTGGTTATTTGAAAATACCTAGGAATATTTTTCAAATGCAGCATCAATACTTCAAGATTCTGATATGCCGTATATGTTGGAACAGGTAAAGATGGGGCAGAACAGGTAATGGAAGCTTACTCTCCAGGGTATCCACATTTTTAAAGGGTCTCTTGGTGTTTTTGATAGCATCTGTTTCCTACTTCAATGTCTTCTTAAGAACACTGAAAAATATTGTTTAAAATAACCTTATGCATGCCAAGTCAATATGTTTTTCCCTCAGCTATATTTAAATTAATAAGTTTTTTTCCATTAGATGGAAGAATAATAACCACTTTACAGAGTTGTTAAAATAGAGTGCATATAAAAGTACCAATTCTAATATCTGACATATCTGACAAAATTGGTTTTCATGAAAAAAATATACACATATTTACACTCACTCACATGAGGGTACTTCAGAACGTCCATGGAAAGATTCATATTATCTTTTAATTCCATTTTTCCATGAACTTTTTGAAGTACCCTCGTGTGTGTGTGTGTGTGTGTGCCTGTGCGTGTGTGTGTGTGTGCCTGTGCGTGTGTGTGTGTGTGTGTGTGTGTGTACACTATATATATGTGTAACTTATATGAGAGTCTGCTATCAATATTTTTGATGTAAGTAAAATCTGATCTTATGAAATAAATAATTAAATTAAAATTTGACACTTTTTAATTTCAGTTTATTGATGGTCGATTGGCAAAACTAAATGCAGGAAGGGGTTTCTCTGACGTGTTTGAAGAAGAGATCACCTCAGGTGGCTTTGGTGGAGGTAAAGACTAGTTTCAGTATGATTATCCACTTTCTGAATAGCTGTTATCTTGATTTTTACACTTGTGTTTGATATAAATTACTTCATAACCTACTATTTTCTCCTAAATATATAGTGACTTAAATACATTTTTTTCATCTTATAAGAGCTATGGTATTAATTTATTTTGCCTGATATTTGTTATTCACGTCAAGATGATCTCATGAATTGGTAGCTTTGGCTTGGATAATCTCTTAATATTACTGGAAATAAATAACACAGAAATCCAATCAATTTATGTTTTCCAGTCTTTCTTTATGAATACTAGTATTCTCTGCTAGAAAGCTACTAGTGGTGGCTATGCCTGAGTACAAATTTAAGAACTGAGATTATGATTGAAATAGTAGATTGTAATATAATCCAAAAAGAAATGTTCGAACTCGTTCTACACTTTAAAGTAAATGTATTATTGTGCAGAAGTCTTTGCCTTTTTTACTGTGCAGATCACGGCAGCATTAGGAAAGTTTTCAGTTTACCATTTTATAAATACGATTAATCCTTCAAAGGTATATATCCAAATAATGTTATAACTATCTAGACAATTAATAACTTACGAACTGATACTTTAGGCACAGTCGTTCCAGTATATAGTCCTGAATTACAGAGAATTTTGTTTGAGTCCTTGCAATGTCCTGTTCATTCTTTCAGCCAGTCTTTGCTGAGTGCTTGCTGTGTACGAGGCGTTGTTCTAGATACTGAGTGAACTAAATCAACACAAATCCTTGCCCTTTGTATTTTGGTGTGTTCATTTTTGACCTGGTACAGTAGTAATTTTTTTCTATCCCTTTGTAGGTTTGAGAAAAAAGTTTTTAGTTTATGTGTGAATAGTAGTTGAGGAATAAAACATGAGAAGACAGAAAGTAATAAGTACTCATCTATAAATTTTACAAAATTTAATTTTATTCTTAAATAAGATTTAGTTTTGCACCATAAAAATATAGAAACCATTGAGATAATTTTTTCATGAAAAGAGGTACAAATGAACTTAGCAGTTGTAGACCTTTATCTGATGTAAGTACAGCATTTCATTGATAACACGTAGCTTGGGGAGAAAGTTTACTTGACTCAGCAAGTAACTGAATGTGGAATCATTCAGCTCCTTGCTTTCCTCAGCTCATGGGTAAAAATTTAGCTTCAATGGAACTTTTGTGTTAAAATAACACTTTTTAACTTTTCAACTCAGACAAGCAAAATATTGTCAGCTCATGGACAAATTGCTTGAGGCATCTATTCAGTATTTACATAACTGCTGTCTCATTATCTTTATGACCCGTGGGGCTAGTAGCTTTTATAGAATTGAAGATGACATCTTGTGACAGTAATGGGGTAGAACTATGATTCTTTTATACAGTTAAATTCTGTTGTCTTAACCATTGGTCCAGATACCTCAGTAATAGAGTAGAAGTAGATGGCTTTTCTTGTGGGAGAGGATCACTGAAATTTTTTACTAAAGGTCTTATTGTTTAAAAAAGAATAGGGAAATATGATCAGTAGTTGGCATCTGACTTAGAGACTTCTGCATTTCCAGTACAACTTAATGCCAACTGCTTTGGTGCCCTTTATTAAAATGAAAAAGGTTTGAACTCTTATTTTAATTTGAGGGAGCCAATCTTTATCTAAAAGGAATGCCTAGTTCAAGAAATCATAATTTCAATGAGTACAGCAAGAAAGGACCTTTAAAAAGGATGCTTGACTGTCAGTTGTTATTTTTTAATTATTGTATTTTGGGTTATTTTAGAGATGCACAGAGATTATTTTTAGAAAAAATAAAGCAAAATTATTTAGGATTTGAAATAAAAAGATGAATAATCTAACAAAAATTAATAATGTTCTCCTAATTACTAATTAGGAGGTATATATCTGTCTAGGGTGTGTATGTGTGTGTATTTCAAAAAACAGTTCTTAGTGGACAACTCCAAACATTTGTCATCTAGACTATGCTTGTGAAGAATATGTCTATGTCATGATATTGACCCATTCTTCAAAGACATAAACTGGTTTAACTTTGTCTTTTCTCTCATAGTAATAGTAGTAATTATAATTAGTGTTCATATTTATTGAGCACTAATATGTGTCAGAAACTCTCCCAAGAGCTCTACCAATATTATCTCATTTAATCCTTACAATACCCTATGAGGCACTTTGATCACCCCATTGTTATGGGGATACTCAGCTTAATAATTTGTTCAAGGTCGCATAGCTAGTAGCGGCCAGAATCTGAACTCAACATGTTCTACCTGGCTTCAAAGCTCTTGCTTTAATAGCTATAATATATTCTTTATAAGGATAAGAGATCTTTGTGATAAGAAAACATTCAGTAAACAAGAGTGGTAGCAGGCCTTCCCTACCCTGATTGGAGAAAAGCAGAATTCCTGTCTCTTCTGAATATCTCTTGAAGATTTTTTACACATAAAGCCACCAGAAAGATCACTGTAGATGAAATCAACATTAATAAAAACTGAAGAAAAAATTGTTTCCTTAAGCAAAAATAATTAAGAAATTTTAGAGATGCATCTATTTTCTCCTCTTTATATACATCATTGCAGTGGTAGTTTATACACTGTTTTTGTTGCTAATGCCCATGGTTATGATAAAATAAATATGAATATAGTGGAGCTTTATAATTATTGTGGCTCTGAGTAAAAGTGTACAACATAGGAAAATCATAAGAACATCTAGATCCACATTTGAATCTAGAACTATGGTTGAAGAATCCTTGAATACATGCAGATTTCCAAAAAACATTTTCTGTCCTGTGAGTTCCCGTAGTCATGCCTGTTAAGCCTTCTTCCTTTCATGAGGCCCTTGCAGAACATGTGTAAAGAGAAGCATATTCATGGAGACTAAAAGGTAATAAAAGAGGACATTAATAGAACAAAGGATGCAATTAGGTAAAAACAAATGTTGATCTGTGAAAAAGCAGCACAGGAATATTGAGTAGTTAAGGACATATTTTTTTAAATATTTTTTTTCATTTAAAATAAAACTAGTCCTTAAATTCACATCAAATTACCTAAACTTTAAAAAGGAGAAATATTTTCATATTGATTTTATACAGGAGTGTGTGGTTACTCTCTGTTAATAGCATTTGTTTCTTCATTAGTTTTCTGATATAGTCCAATCAGTCTTTTATTTATTTCTACTACTTTTTATTGACTGTGGCATCAAAAGAATTTGAAGAAGGGTAGTAGGAAATTATAAGTTTTAATAGCATTTTTTCTGGCCTCATTGAGCAATTTAGACCAGTTTACTTATTTCAATAAATAACTACAAATGACTGCAATTTAAACAAATACATTTGAAGACAAAATCTTTTGCCCAAGTGAGAAATAAAGATATTTTGTCCTTGAGTATGAGAAAATCAGTTGTTTAATTAACAAGAACAATGTTAATATTTCCTCAATAATGCTTGTTATGACCATAATCCAGTGATTGTAAAAGAAGGAATCTGAGGGATTTTTTGGCATTCAAATGAACTTTTTAAGAAGAAAAACAGCCTTATTTTTTTCTTAACATCACCGAAGGATAATGTGCTTGTTCCATAACTTTTGTGGAAATATAACCTTGAATCATAAAAGCACTAAAATTTAAAGAGACAATTAGCTTATTTTTTTTTTAAAAAAAAAANGGCTGGCTAGTAAGGGGATCTGAACCCTTGACCATGGTATTATCAGCACCCAGCGCTAACAAAGTGAGCTAACAGTCCAGCCCCTAAACCACATTTTGTACAGGAATCTGTTGATTCATTTGATTCATTTAGCGTTCTCTCTTAATTTTGGTGTGTAAGAGATTTTTGTCTCAGTCTTATAGTATAACTGATATAACTTACTACTACTAATTATCTCAAATTGCTGCCTGAGGAATAATGTATTGCCCTGCACAACACCTCTCAGTTTTGTCTGTTAACCATTCAAATAGAAAATGAGGGCAGACTGTGAGATTTTTTTTTTTTAAAGTCAAGCTACTTTATTTTAATTCAGTTAATTTTTTACTGTATAAATTTAAAATTTATGGTCATGATTAATTAATTTCAGAATGAAAGTGGACATTTTGTATTAACCCTCAAATCTTCAAGTCTACCCAGCAAAAGGCATGTAAATCTTTCCTGTGTTGTCTCCTACCTCTTATGCAAGGGAGCCTTAAAGATACGTCACCTTCAGTATTGATGGAGTAGCCTCATCAATTCCAGATGCCACAGTTCAACAAAATAAAAAGTAACTAAGTGCCAGTAACACATATGTATATAGAATGTATCATTGATTTTCACCTGGGGTTGGTTATTTGAAAATACCTAGGAATATTTTTCAAATGCAGCATCAATACTTCAAGATTCTGATATGCCGTATATGTTGGAACAGGTAAAGATGGGGCAGAACAGGTAATGGAAGCTTACTCTCCAGGGTATCCACATTTTTAAAGGGTCTCTTGGTGTTTTTGATAGCATCTGTTTCCTACTTCAATGTCTTCTTAAGAACACTGAAAAATATTGTTTAAAATAACCTTATGCATGCCAAGTCAATATGTTTTTCCCTCAGCTATATTTAAATTAATAGTCACAATTCTGATCATTCAGTCAACACATATGCCAGGAATTATGAAAATTGTATTTTTTTTAATCATCAAATGATTAGAATTACCTGGTGCTCTATTATGTTTTAGGAGATAATGGTTTAGATAAGGAGTATTTTATTTTATTTGATGAAGTTAATATTAATCTTCAAAATAGTAGTGTCTCACATTTCTTGGGTACTTACTGTGTCAGAGACTATGCTAAGCACATTACTTATGTTGATCTAATTTAATGTTTACAGCAATTCCATGAGACAGGTATTGGAAAAACTGAGGCCTGGTGAAGGAGGACACATCTCCATGGGCAAATGACCTGGCAGGGCAGCAGTGCCTTTGTGCAAACCCCTCTGCAGAGGTTGTGCATGGATCAAATATCTAGAGCCTGTAATCTT